TTTGTTTGATAAGGTTGGCTAAGAGTTTATCAATTTGATTATTCTTTCAAAAAAGGAACGGTTTAATTTGTTGATTTTTTTGTATTGTTCTCTTAGTCTCCATTGCATTGATTTCTGTTTTGATCTTTATAATTTCCTCCCTTGTATGAGCTTTCAGTTTGTCCTGCTCTTCTTCTTCTGGGAGGCTAAGGTTATGCATTAGGTTGTTTATTTGAACTTGCTCTGTTTTTCTAGTATGGGCGTTTACTGCTATGAATTTCTCTTGTAGAACTGCTTTCATTATGTCCCCTAGGTTCCTGTATGTTGTATTGGCATTATCATTTAATGTAGAAACTGTCTAATTTCTTCTGTGACCCAGCAGTTGTTCAGCAGGATGTTATTTAATTTTCATGTGTTTGTGAAGTTCTTGTGGTTTCTTCAGCTATTGATCTCCAGTTTAATGCACTATGGTCTGATAATATACAAGGGATAACTTCAACTCCTTTGCATTTACTTAAGCATGTTCTATGAGGTAGCATGTGGTCTATTTTGGAGAATGACCTTTGTGCAGCTGAGAAGAGTGAGTATTCTGATTTTAGGGTGGAACACTCTGTAGACATCTATTAAGTCCATTTGTTCTAAGACTCGGTTCAGTTCTGTTATTTTGTTGTTGATTGTTTTGTCTAGATGATCTGTCTATTTGTGTCAGTGGAGTATTGAGGTCTCCCACTACAATTGTATTAGTGCTTATTTCATTTTTCATATCCATTAATATTTGTTTTGTATAGTTGGAGGCATTAGTATTTGGTGCATATATATTTATGATTGCCATTTATTCCTCCTGTATTGTTCTCTTTACAAGGATGTACTGGCCTTCTTTGTCTCTCTTAATTAGTTTTGGTTTGAAATTTACTGTCTGCAAATGAGATAGCTACCCCTACTTTTTTCCAGGTTCCTGTCACATGGAAAACTGTTTTCTATCCTTTTACTTTTAGTCTATGAGTTTCTTTTTGAACTAGGTGTGTTTGTTATATAGAGCATATTGTTAGATTTTGCTTCTTAATCCATTCTGCCAGCCTGTTTCTTTTGATTGGTGAATTGAGGCCATTAACATTGATGGTCATAACTGTTATGTATTAACTTTTCATTGTCATGTTATTTTCCTGTTGTTGGTTCTTTTATTTTTTATTTTTCCCTCTCTCCCTTTAATTTCTTGCCTTATCTGGTATATTTGCTCTTTTGGCCCTTATGAAGTTGTGCCTTTCATTTTGTTTTTCTAGGTTGTTGTTTAAAAGTGTTTGGAGTGCTTGTTTGTTATTCTTGACATTTCTCAGGTGTTCTTTGTCATGGAAGTATCTTATTTCCCCCATCAGTTTTGAAAGAGAGTTTGCAGGGTGCATCAGTCTAGATTGGAGGTTGTTTTCTTTTAGGAATTGAAATACTTCACTCCAGGCTCTCCTTGACTTGAGTTTGTGTTGAAAAGTGTGCTGTGATTCTTATGGGCTGTCCTTTTCATGTGATTTGTTTATTTTCTCTTATTGCTTGTAGTATTTGTTCTTCTGTTGGGTTTCTGGGATCTTGATTATTATATGTCTAGGTGTAGTTTTTTTCTTTTGGATCATGGATAGTTGGTGTCCTATATGCCTCACTTATCTGTATGTCAAATTCTTCCCCTCTGTTTGGGAAGTTTTCTGTCATTAATTCTGTGAACAGTTTTTTTTTTATATCATTTGTACTTTTTCCTGCTACTTTCTGGATTCCTATCAATTTTGTATTATTCTTCTTTGCATCATCTAAGAGTTGTTGGATTGATTTCTCATGTTTCCTTACTGCTTTTCATGGTCACTGACTGCAATCCTATGTTCTGTATCTGAAACTCTATTTTCACATTCATTCATCCTGTTGTGAATACTTTCTATAGAGTTTTTAATCTCCTGGATATCTGTTTGAATCTGTTTCATGGGTTCCATTTCTTTCCTATTTTGAGCATTCAAGGTTTCCATTTCTTTCCTATGTTGGGCATTCATGGTTTCCATCATGGTCCTGAGCTCATCTGTTTTTTAAATCTGTTTCTGTTCTAGAGTCTTTAATCATGTGTTTCTTTCTTCTCGCCATCTCTGTGGTTATCTGGGAAATTATTTCTGTTTTGAATTTTACTATAGCCTCATTTATTTTTATTTATTTATTTATTTTTACTTCTTGTGCTATTGGTTCAGTGTGTCCAAATGTTTGACTGACAGACTTTTCCACCTTATTTCCCCAAACATTTACCTTTGGTGAGGTGGAAGTCTGTGTTTGTGTCTTGTTTAAATGTCTTCTCATTTCTATTTTTGTTGTTGGTACTGTCCTTAGTTTAATTCCTGAGTTAATACTTCAATCTTTCAGATATATCGTCTTTAGGTTTTGAGTCTCTAATGACTCTGAGGTAATCTCATTTTCATTGTACCAGGGAGGACAACTGATTAGATCCATCACAGCACCATAGCCCAAGTGATACAATCAGCAACAGAATAGCATCAAGCATGGTGCAGAAAATGACAATTTGTGGTAGTTATTAATCTATCACCTTTAACTGTGTGAATTAAATATAAATTGAGGACCAGCCCAGAATATGTTTATAGTGAATAAACTCTTCAATATAGCAACTTTACCCTCAGGATGGGGCCTTAGAAGGAGTTGGGGAAGGAGGGATACATAGATAGGATAGAGAAAGGTTAGAAGTGAAGCCAGAGGACACACAGGAAGATCACACAAACTCTAGGGGGCTGTTGAAGAGAAGAGGAGAAGACAGGACAAAATATACACAAGAACAGAACAAACTAACAGCAATAGGGGGCCTAGAGACTGTAATCACTTTCTTTTAAAACTAATGGCAATTGAGAGGAGAAAAAAGAGAAGAAAAGGAAAAGAAAGAAAATAAATTCAAGTTAGGATAGGAACTTTTCTCCATTAAAGCTTCTGCAGGACTGACAAATGTACATCAATCTATTAAAACCAGGGGTCCTCTTCATCTTTAGAGATAACCACTTAAGGAAAATGCAGTCATTTACATATCTAAACCTTCATTTTGAGTCAGCAGTTGGAATCCATTCAGTACTTTTTGAACATCATACCTTTAAAAGTTTACCTTTAATATAAACTTTGGAAAACAAAAAACAAGAAAAAATATCTATGGCAAATTACATTTCATTTGGATTCTAGTTTGATAACAGTAAAATAAAAAAAAATATTTGGTGTAGTGTTAATTTTACCTATGGAATTACTAGATGTCTTCTGCTCTTGTATGATTGAGTGACAAAAAAAGTTGTAGCTTGTTCAAAATATTTTAAGCCTTTCATTTAGTATTTAGTAAGGCAAAAATGAATTAAAAACCATAGTCTTTAAAAATGAAGTCTTACAAATTCGGTTCTCACAATAATTTCTTTAATGGATGAGTTAAGTATAGATACAATATATCCAATACTGTCATAACTACAGTAAAAGAAACTCTAGTAGCATTTTTTATTCCATTAAGTTTATTGGTACATTTTAGGTATACATTATGATCACATTCATTGGGAATTTTCCCCTGTACATGATATATCTTGGTTCTTATTTTCCCCCATTTCCTTTCTTTCCCTTCAACCCCTCCATCCCTTCCTATTTACAAACACTTTGTGTCCACTTTTTCCTTCTTTTCTCATATTGTTTCCTTCCCTCTTTCCTTTCCCCTACCCCTTCTATTAGCATATTAGCATTTATAGATCATGAAATCCTTAATACCAATATGTATTCAGAACACATTCACACAATACCAATACCTCTCCTTCTCCATGAAAAAGAACATTTGTTAACAATAACAAAAAATGCCAATAAAACAGTGGAAACCCATTTCATTTCACTGTGCCTAAGGGCATGACACAAAATATTGGCTTAAAGAGGTAGGTTAAAAAGAAAAAGAAAACCAGATTCTTCATCTTTTGTCACTTTTATTCAGTAGGAATAAATATTTTCATTGCCAGACATGGCAAGGAGTGATTATAGCCAACTCTAATTAAACACTTGTTTGCAATGTATACCCCCTTTACCACTGACCTCAAACAGACTAATTTTATGTGCTTTTGTTCATTTTTTTTGACATCGTACCACTGAGACTGGGTGGAAGGGGCAAGAGTAAGAGATGAGAGAGGGACAGTCCAGGATACCAGAGAGGAGGAATACTACCAGACACAGTAAGAAGGAGCTGTATTTAATTTTAAAAAGGGGAAGGGGTGTAGCCCACAAATGATACAGTAATGAGGATACACAAATCCTATAGCATGACTGAAGGCTTTCACTGTGCTTGATGTCATCACAATGGAAAGCATAAAAAGTGGAGTAAATCCATGCTGATACCGTCTGTCCCATCTAGTCCATTAGGCAAAATGGCGCAAGAAGTCACTTAAATAAAAAGTGCCCTACTTTTGCCTACGTGGCTAGCAGACATGGAGAACACCAGTGAGGAAACCACAGAGCTTCTCCATGTAGCTATAAGCATGTGTTGTCGAATGGCACACTGTCAAACACTGGAAGGGATGCCACAGTGGGCCTCTCTCTATAGGTACAGATGCTAGATCCAACTATCCTATCTAAGCAGGAAGTGGGCTCTTTTGCTAGGAATACCAACTCTAATTCACTTTGTCTTGAAATATATACAGATCGTTTGTAGTAGCTAGAGCAGTGATATTTTCCTTGGGGTGCCAAAAACTGTATGTATGATTTTCTTGTTGAAATCTAGGCTGTGAACACTTACTTCTTCTTTCTCTTGCCACTTGCACAGACTTTACATAGCTTCAAAACAATGGGAGACTTACAGTTTCCTCATGATGCTTCTAGGGTTGTATTTCACTTTGTGTTCCTGTTGAACATTTTGAAGAAATTGTTGTAAGACCCAGTCATGACAACTCTGTCAGGTCCATTCCGACCGCATTTAAAATTGTCAAATATGCATTCATTTTCATACAGTGAACAGTTTACTTTGGAGATATTGGTGCACCTGGTATAAAAATAAGGAACAATTCATTAGTTTGCGTGTCACCCTTGCATAGGTGCCATGCTAACCTTTGCTGTCTCGTTCCAGTTTTAGTGTGTGCTGCTGAAGCGAGCACCAGAAGCCTCATCTTGGTTGCCATGGAACCCTCTTTCCTTAGCCTTCTCTCTTGAGTGGGCACTTGCTTTTCATGTTTGTTATTGTGTCTATTCCTCCTTGACCCCCAAGGGCCACCACTATCTTGATTTCTAACAGCACTGATGAATTTTTGTCTGTTTTGAGCTTAAATGGAATCAAACTATGTACTGTTAGTATTGGGCTTCCAATATTCGATCTATTATTTATATTATTTCAAGTCTATGTTGTTTTCTACTAGAATTTGAGGATGGTTTCCAAGATTCCCCACCTCTTTCTCTTGTCAGCGTGCTCCACTTAATCCTACAAACAAGCAATTTGATGAATTTTCCACCCATGATTAATTTATGTGATGCAGCACAATTCACCTTGGAAGGGGAGATTATCAAGATGGGCCTGAACTAATTTTTCAGCCCCTATTGCTCTTTTCATGGTATTGGGAATTCATGAGTATTTTCAAGTAAAGAGTCTTCACTGGCTGGCAGCAGCTACCAAGAAACTGGGAACTTTGTCCTACGAGGACAAGGAACTGAATTCTGCAAACAATAAGCATGAACTTACAAGTGGGTTTTCCCCTAGAGGCTTCAGGCAAGAGCTCAACTTGGCCAACATCTTGATTTTAGCTTTTTAAAATCTGGAGTAAAAATCTAGCCATGTCATTCTGGATGTCTGCCCTACAGACTGTGCACTAAATAAGTGATTATCTTTAAAAAGTTGTTAAATTTGTCATAATTTGTTATTTAGAAATAGAAAAAAATATGGTTCCTCCAACACTTCACTGGATTTTAGGTAGTAATTCAATGACGCAGGTTGCCTCATTATGTAATATTTTTGTAACTATGTTATTACAGACAACTTATCAGAAGGCTACATTGCTTAAAACTTGAGAGTTTATGGATGTTTTCCTAAGATTGCTTTATGGTGATGAACTTTGTATAATACCAACTTTAAGAATAAAAGGAATCTATCATAGAGGTGTGGCTTTTGTTCTCTCTGGCTATTAGCTTGGTGTTCAAGAGCTGTGTGCTAACCCCACTTGTAGAAACACTGAAGGTCAGAGATCATCAGTCAGTGGTTTGAAATCTGGCTCTGTCATTAACTATGTGCCATGGACAAGTTACTTATCCCTTAAAAACCTCTTCTCTTTATCTAGGAGATGGGCACAGTAGTGCCTACCTCACAAGGCTGCCTGTGAGGTTTGGATACGGATATATAAAGTGTGATTCAACTTCATATACAATTTATCCTGTTTTGTCGTCTTCTTTTAAAAGATACCATTAAACAGAGACATAAAAGTAAATAAGGGCCTTTGGGTTTCATCACTGGGTTCTCTTGTGAATTCACTCATCAATGAAACTATACTTGGTACTGTAAGGAACACTGAGAAGTATTTCCAGCCTAAAAGAGGTTGACATTCAAGAGAAGACAGGATGAGTGCACATATAACATCTCATTTTGGTTCATCCTTAGTATTCTCTTTTGTTGATTCAAGGGTGTGGTTCCTTCAGGAAGTGGGAATGCTCTGTATTTTATAAGAACAGTGAAGTAATCTTTCCACTGTGACCCATCCTTTGAAGGGAGAACAGGAATGGGAGGGAGGGATATGTATTTTTTCAAAGTGGGGGCACATGAGAGGACGCCCTCCCTGCTGTACAGGAATGTTGCTGTAATAGAGCACATAAACACAACAGTCATGACTGCTGTGTAGAATGGAAAAATCAATGACTAAACTGGAAAAGAACCCATCATCAGACCCAAATGCCATGGCTCATGTCTGTTGCTCAGGACCATAGGCTCGATGGAGGAGATGTTGGAGATGCTTAGGCTTTCCCCCACTCCCAAAATAAGGAAACAAACAACAAAAACTTCAATTTTTTTTCTAATTGTTTCCCAAAACACACAGATGAAAGACAGTCTTGTGTGGTTGAATTTGGCTGCTGTTGTGTAAAATTTTACAAAACTTAGAAGATCTATTTTTTTCCCCAAAGAAACCAGCAGAATTCTAATGCTTCACGTGGGAATTGTGTTTGAATTTTGAATGCAGATGTGTGTTTTTGTCTTAATTTTCCATCAACACAGATGTTTATTTCAGAATGACAATCATTTTAGATGCCTCCTGGACTTATATCCAAGTTTTTCACAAGAATATTGTCTTGTATTATTATGTAATAGAACAGCTGCTGGTGTCTTTTACACTTTTTGGAAAGTTCTTTAACTTAAAAACATTTTTTTTTCTTATGAAGGTTTAAACCAGAGGGGTGGGATCATTTTGTTTGTGCTGAAATCTCTTCTCTTTGAAACATACAGTCAATGGCAGTTCAGAGACAGGAAAGAGCAGGATGTAGAGCTCATGTAGGTGATATTGCTGCTACAGATTACCACATGATAAGTGGATAAAGTACCATTCTTGTTCCACAACAGAGAGAAGGAGGTCAGCCTCCAAGGAAGGACTTTGTTTTTAGTATCAGAGCACCAGGAATTCACATATGTAACTTACAGTAAACAAGACAGTTACTCCTTTTACTCTGTAGAGCTTTCTAACACTAAGTAAATCAAATATAATGAACACTGTAGTAACCGTCTTATTCAAAGCAATATAATATAGCATTATAGTATACTTCTAGGTATTTTTATCTTTCTAATTTCTTTGTTCTCTTTGCATCATATTAGATTGAGAGGAAAAAAATCTTCACCTAGGGCTGGAATGCAGAATTCTTTGAAGTGAGATTTGGTAGGCATTTTAAGGAAAGGCTTTTGGAAAGATTTGGAACTAATAGCTTCCTGAAAACTTCATCCTGGCATGCTTGTTTTTTTTGCTTCTCTTTCCTCTATACACGTTTCTCTGTAGCAGTTTCTTAGATTTTGGACTCAAAGCTGGCTCCACGAATGTCTGTATGCTATTTGTCCTAAGCAGTTTAAGAAGCAATGTGGGTGTACCTAGCTTAATTAATGGTTTTCTAGCTTTGTTGTGATATACAAAAATTGTTCATATTTGCTGTGTATAATGTGCTATTTTGATACACATATCAGAAAGGGATTACCAAAACCAAGCTAATGAGCATATCTGTCATCTCATGGTTACCTCTTTTGTTCTGGTGAAAGTATTTAATACCATTCAGTTTCAAGTACAAAGTACATTATAATAAACTATAGTTACCATTCTGTGCATTGAACCTCTAGAACTTGTTCTTGTTACTGTAACTTTATAGCATCTCCCCATTTTGCTACTCCCACCACTCTTCCACTCTGTTTCTATGGCTTTGACTTTTTAAGATTCCATATGTAAATGAGATCGTGCAATATTTGTCCTGTTTCACATAAACAGTGTCTTCTAGGTTAATCTCTTTTGTCACCAATAGTAGAATTTTCTTTTTTAGGGGCTCAGTAATATTCCATTGCAATGAGCATTCCTGTTGGTTTAAGACTCCAGAAATATTAAAGCTAAAGTTGAAGTTTGAAATAATGGATAGCATAAAATATAGACTTTTCCTCCAATGCTCTCTACACTGGAACAATTTACAAGGAAATCCTTTAAATAGCTTGAAAAAATTACTTAATTAAAATGCTGCCCACCGAGACAGCAATAACATATGAAATTCATTGCTTGCAGAGACTAAAAATATGAGTGTGGTCAGGAAGTCATAATGAAATTGTGGATAATTTCAGGTAAGCTTCTGAAGTTGGTCACATGAGAAATGGCCCATCAAGTGTGACAACTAGCATGTCAGCTAAGGACCCCCAGACCAGAATATCTTATCCATTGGAGTATTTTTTAAATGGCAACTTTGTGACATTTGATGCTTCTAAATGTAGGTAAAATATGAGATGAGGATAGATTGCTTGGAATTATGTCAGCATTTTTGAAGATATAGAGTGTGTAGTATAATTCCCCATTGTGTGTCAAACTTGACATCTTGAGATTTTGTTGGATATTCTCTATCTTTTAATGGTTGTGTCAGTAAAAATTTTCAGAGGAGAGGAACCTCATCTGGGTCTTGGTTCTATATATCTTATAGTGACTCTGAAGAGATTGTTTGATAAGAGCCTGTTTTTAATAGAATTATTTCTAAAATTTTATTGGTTTCTCATCTTGCTTTGTCAACCTTGAGATTTTGGGCACCAAGCGTAGTTGGTTAGGAGCCAGTGCTATCGCGTGGATGAATTTTCAGGGCTAGCCAGGAATTTATCAACTGACAGGCAGTTGGATGTAGTGGAAAAAGTCATGACTTATATCAAACAGTTCTGGATTGAAACTTGGCTTTTCTCCTTAGTATCTGAAGGAGTTTGGGGAAATTACTCAAGTACCGTCTTGTACTTCAGTTTCCTCACTTCAGATGCAGAGATAATAGCTACTTTGTTAGGCTGTAGAAACTTTCTGTTCAATAGGCTTTTGTGAGAGGAAGTTGAAGAATGAAAATGTTTTTGTTCAGAAGTGGCACATTTTTATTACAGAAAAATTAGGAGACATAGCCAAACACAAAAAAGAATAAAAAATGCTCCATAATCCCTTTCTAGTGGATAATATTTTTCCCATTTACATCTTTAGTGTACATTAGTGTAAATCATTTAGGCATTAAGTATTTTAGAGAATCAATTTTAATCACTGAAGTGTATTTCACTGTGTGGGTGCATCAGAATTATTAATCTTTCATTGTGTCTGTCTGCTTTTTTACCATTGCAAACATCCTTGTGTATGTATTTTTGTGTATATGCACAATTATTTACCTAGAATAAATGTCTAGAAATGGAATCACTGGGTCAAAATACATGTCTTTTAAAGGTTTTGAATAGGATTTATTTTATTAAAATTTGCAAAAATGTACATTCCTACCATGAACGTATGGGAGTGCTCATCCCTTTCCATTTCTAATCTTTGAGAGGCAAAAGTGGCATATTATTTCACTTCACATTTTTAAATTACTAGTGAAATTAAATTTTATTTATTGATGTGATTTGCATTTTGAACTGCCATTTTATCTTT